AAGAAGCAGAGGAGAAATGAAGTCGCCTGTAGACACAAACTGGGGAGAAAACGCTCCTGCCAAAGGTCTCAAACCCAACACTTCACCAAAAGATGGTACAACACAGCGAGCAAACGTGCATGTTGTTTAGACACCGGAGGCCTATCCTGCCCCAACCTGGGTTTGAACCTGCAACCTAAGGATATCAAGACAGCACTGACTACAGCAGCCCCAAATGATAAAATACTAGTATTGTTTGCAATTCCCCAGCCCCCGTCGTCCCAACTTGCAGCGTACGATTTTGCAGCTTTAATGAGCTGAGCAAAGCTCCAGCGAGGCTTCAGGAGCTTCACGCCGACTCCCAACACTTAATCAGCGATGTAGCATAAGTTGGACAAATATTTATAACCATTCACAGTCATTTACGCAAACGAAGGCTCGGGGGGCTTTTCCATCACCCAAACTCACAACCCAATAAAAACCATGAGAGGGCTGCTCATTTATGCATAAGCTGTGCTCGGGACAGAGGAACTCAGAGACTGGAGGGAGTTGCACTTTAAAAACATCTCTGGAGATGAAGATGTGCAGCTAACTTAAGTCTTAACTCCACACCCTCCTCTGGAGACCCAAATGAAGCCGGAACAGAAGGTGGGTTTTATAGGAACATATGCTCCTGTCCCCTTCTATATATCAAAGCTTTTACACTCACCCATAAACATTACTGTTGAGTAAGACGTTACATGGGAGGTGGTTGCTGTAACTCTCTTTTATTTCTTCATGTGGAACAGGGAGGGGGTAAATGAGTTAACCTCTTGTTGCTTTGGTGAGGCTGCAGGTTAACTCATGCCAAGGGTTATTACAGCTCCACATGTTACAGTCTTTAGTAAGAGCACCTGAGCTAACTTTATTTAGCTTGCACATCAGTTAAAGAAGCTGCTCTGCTCATGGTGGCAGATTATTGTAATAGTCATGATTTACTTTTTGCTTTTCACAAATGACGCTTGACTCATCGTATAGTTTAAAAATAATGCACTGTGCAACATTTATCAATAATTTGAGTTGGCATTTATAGAAATTTGATTCCAGATGTGGTTCATGTAAGGTATTCAGAAATTAAATACTCCTAACAGGAAAGCAAGAGGCTTAAAAATGCTGTGATTTTGGCAACAAACAAGATATTTACATATCTTTTGTATATATATATATATATATATATAT